CCGCCGCCGCCGCCGCCCGCCGCAGGCTCCTCCTCCACCTCCACCAACCGCTTGACCCTCTCCCCGGACTCGGTCATAAACGCGCGCCGGGCAGCCTCCTCGATCTCGCGCTCCGCGCGCACCGCCTCCTCATCCTTCTCCTCGCGCACGCGCTCCAACGCCGAAACGGTGCCCTCCTCGCCCAACGCCTCCGTCCGCTCCATCCGGGCATTGCGCGTCCGAATCTCATCCAGCGCGTCCGCAATCGCCATCTCCCGCTTCGAGTCCAGCATCTTCTCCTCGAGCTCCGCCATCTTGTCGCGCTCCTCCTGCTCGGCATCCTCTCCCTCCTCGCGCTCCAGCCGGTCCAGCGTCTCCTGCTCCGTCTCGTCGTGGTTCGGCAGCTGCGACGCATCGCGCCACGGCTCGAAGTTCCGCTTCGCCCCGCGCTCCGCCCGGTAGTCCATGTTCTTCGGGTCCGTCACAAACGTGATCTCCCCGCTGCACCGCGTGCACCGGATGTAGAACCGGTAGATCGGGATCGAGAAGTATTTCTCCGAGGTGGTTTCCTTGCGCGCGTTGAATTTGCGGCCTTTGTAGATGAATTCGCCTGCCGGGAATGAAGTATTAGTATGGGTTGGGGTGGGGTTGGGGTTGAGATTGAGGATTGGGGATTGGGTTTGGGGAGGCGGATTGGGAATTCGGGTGAAGGTAGGGTCTTGGTACGCACCGCACTTCTCGCATTTCATCGAGAACGGTGCCATCAGGCGCACAGTGATCACCTTCGGCCCCGTCTTGCGCAGGTGTTTCGGGACCCGGGTGATCGCGCTCGGATCGAAGTCCGGGGGGTAGTACTTTGTCAGGACCTGTTGAGGTGGTTAGTTTTGGTCTGATGATGGAGATTTCGTGGGTGATTCGGGAGCAACGTACCTTTCGCTCAGACATGGTGACAGTTGAGGATGGTGTTGGAGGGAAGTGGTGAGTGGAAGTGAGAGTGTTGGTGTTGGAAGGTGGTTGATTGTTTGATGATGGCGACGAAGGCGAAGGCGATTTGCGCCCGGCCGCTATCGAGCGATAGTATCATGTGAGGATCACGTGCGCTTATCGATATGCCTACGCAGTACTCCGTACGGAGTAGTTAAGTTACCGACTACGGAGTACCCAGTATGTCAGCTGCGCTGCCTCACTACATCTAAAGTAATGCCTGCCAGGTGTACAATTTACTCTCAAGCAGAGCTGCGACGAGCCATCTTCTACATTCAATAGCATTCCCCCCTCGAATAAATAATGTCTGCTATGGATCCATCGGCAAGGAATACAACAATACCCGGGTATAATTCATCCAAACGAACGCCCAGTAGTCTATGCTCCAATGTCATCTCACTGCTGCCTCGTGTTGCTTCGCACCAGCCTCGTTCCTCGACTCCGTCCGCTCGCAGGCCCGGGCGTCTCGTCGCTTTCCACCTCAACTACCCGTCGCCTGCTGCGCCCGCCTCGCACGCGGCTCATTGCATGCCGCAACATGCCGTCCGCTTCGTCGTCCAGCTCCATCTCCACTTTCTCTTCGAGCGTTTCCGCGTACGCAGCTGCGCTGGGAGCATCACCATGGGCCACCTCATCGGTCCATTCTTCGGTGTACGATTCCTCCCGAGCCCCTCGCCGCCGGGAAACGCTCTTCCCCTTGCCTTTGGATGATCGTGTCGAGCTCCGACTGGCTGTGTTTCTCGTTTCTTCAAACACCAGTTGTTCGGTCTCTTGGCCTTCCAGCGCCCAGATCTCCAGCGCGCGAGAAAGCAGTGTGCCGGCGATGCCAGCGCCCCCTGCTGCATCGCCGCCCCCGCTGGCCCCAAGCACTCGTACCGCTTCGTGTAGCGCTGTCACGGCTTCCATGGTGCGGCTCAACTCCAGTAATACAAGCCCGCGAGCAGTGTGCAATGAGCCGACCAGCCCGCGGTCTTCGTAGCCTCCGACACCCGACGTGGCCACGCCCGATGCGCTCCCGCCGCTGCCCCCTAAGAATGGGCTGTACCCGAAACTTGCGCCGGCGGCGCCAATGCGTAGGCACTCATCGAACTCGGTCAGCGCTTCCGAAAATCGCCCAATGCGACGCAAGGCATGTCCCAAGTTTGCTCGCGTCGCTACCCACGCCCCAGGCTCGCATTCCAGCGATGTAGCCAGTGCGAGAGACCGGCGGAAGAGTTCAACGGCCGCCTCAAGGTGGTTCTGGTGATAGAAGACAACCCCGAGTTCGTTTAGGACCAGAGGGTCGCCACCAAGGGACGTTAGCTCGGAAGATGGGTTGGCACGGATGGCTGGGGCAGACCCCGAGGCGTCCCCGGTGGACATGGAGTACGCTGCCGAAAGGTACTCTTGAGCAAGGGACATGTTGTTTAATGCAAGATGCTGCATGCCTAGGAATAGCTGAGGTAGGTGGCTGCCCTGGAAGAGCCGCGCCGCCGTGCTATACGCGGCAATCGCCTGGTCGTGCTCTCCTTCGGCGGCAAAGGTGTGAGCGAAGCCAATCCATGCTGGCGCGGAATGAGGATCCAGCAAGGAGGCCTTGGAGAAGAACCGTCGCGCCTCGGCGATCTTAGAAACTGATAGATAGTATACGCCGATGGCGAGGTAAGTGTACGATTCCTCTGGAGCGTGATCAGCGAGCGTATGCGACAAAAGAAAGAGTGCGTTTGTGGCTCCGGTCTCGTAGAGACACGCCAGATGTAAGGGATAGACTGCAGGCGGATGTCCAAGGTGGCTTTGAGCGGACACGTGCATTGCAGCTGCCGTCTGCGTCGAAGATGCACTCGTTTGCGACGTGGAGAGGATAGACGAGGTGAGTTCGAGAGCTTGTGCGAACCGACACTGTGTATATAGGGCTTCTGCCCGCGATAGCAAGATATCTGGATTTTCCGATAGGTTGTAATGCGTCGAAAGAGTTTCGGTGGCATCTGAAAGAATCGTAGGGGAGGAGTACTTGGACAGTCGGGTGGTGTATAGCATCTTGGTAAAATGGGCGGCCTCTTGCGCGACTGACGGATCGGGGCTGGAGACAGAATCAAAGTCGAGCGACTCGAGGAACTCCAGTTCCTCCGCAGGCGACATGAGCGAGTTCTTCATGAGCTGGTCGAACGCCTCGAAGCACTGAACATCGATCCGGACCGCATCCTTGTAGCAATCCCGCGCGCGGTCGAAGGCATTCTGCTTCGCGAAACAGAGCCCCCTCAGGTAGCACATTGCTGCCTCAAATCGGACATTATTTGCGTCTTCTTTTTCCCGCTCCTCGCCACGGTCGATCCGCGACGCTGCTGTCTTTCCGTTCCGCAAAGTAACATGGCTTTGGCCGTTGACGTGTTGCAGCTTGCGACGGCTGTTGCTGCTGCGGACCAGATGAGTTGGATTATGGTCCCCGAGGACGGAGAGCGCCTGCTCGAACTGGTTCTGCTTGATGTAGCAGTGTGCGGCAAGGTAGCGACAAGCCGTGCTTCGGGAGATGAGGTCTTTGCGGGAGAGGAGGGCCAGGGCGCGGGCGTAGTTGTTGTTCGAGAAATGAACCTGTGCTAGCCAGAAGGCATCTGAGTCACTGTCTGGAACACGGCAGTCCCTAGATTAGTCCGTGTAGACATGCGAGCAAAGAGCTCACGGCCGCATACCGTCGGGGGACTCACTGGTCAGGGCCAGCACCTTGTCGCCGATATAAATGGCTGCGTCATGCTGGCCTCGATTTAGCGCATCCTGGCGCCAGGAGCGCAAGAATTTCTCCATGAGCGATACGAGCACGTGGAAAGCGAGACAGGAGTTGTTAGGGGGAGATTCGCGGACGACGGGGCGGTCACGACGGTGGCATCCATCGACCGAGAGGCATGAGGCGGGTTGGAGGGGCGACGAATGTTTGGGCGGGAGGATAAACAGTCCGCGGGAAAGAGTGGCGGTAAAGCCTTCGCTGATGTGCGTAGTGCGGCGCAGGATCTGCACAGATTGCAGAGAGAAGAGAGTGAGGGTTGATTGTAGTTGGTCAAAAAGAAAATATTAAGTATAGGCCCCAAGTTGAAGGGAGACAAGGTAGAGGATGGAAGCCGACAACACAGTTGGGACTATGGATGGGATGCAGTGGAACTGAAAGCGCGTCAACCTGCCAAGTGGAAAGTGGTCTGTGCGTTTGCCTGTTTGGAGAGTTTGGCTCACCGCCCAGTAGCAGTTCAACAACCTCAATTTTGATATGCCAAATGCTTATAGAAGAGACCTGCGGAGGATTTCGTTTACCATTGACCATATCGCCGTCTATGGTCGACGGACAGTCCGTGTTGCAAACTGCAGTCACTCTTAAACGATCCACTGCGCGGGACAGTGGTGGATCCCTTGTACAGTACCTATACAGCAAGTCGGACGCAGATGCTATGCGTACGGGGGTGGAACGATCTACGCTCGATCCTTGAGAGCATGATTTGCGGAACGACCATCAAGTGTATCATCATTGAGAATCTTCTGTCATGTAGGGTAAAGCAGCAAGTAGACCGGAGCGCCATAGAGATGTAACTTCGAGCACAAAGCCCCCACGGCTGCCAGCACCTGTCTATAATCAGATCGTCGTGATATTATTAGAAGGAAGGCTGTCCAGACGTGTACTGAAATCTTTAGCATAGCCTCAGTTAGTAAGATATGACAGTAGCATCACCGACCAAAGGACCGACCTCTTTAGAGCTCTAGGATTTGAGACAGCCACGAATTTACAGCAGTTGCCGCGTATGCCTCAGATCTCAAAGCTTCCATCACACAGCCCCTTTCACAGAGAGAAGTCATGGCTCTCAGAGATGCACACTGTTGCAGTGAATGACCTCTCTAGGCTTCCACCATCATCTTTCCGCCTTTTCTATCTTCTCCTATCCACAACCTTGCCATTTTATCAGAATGGGAGCCACCATCCACACAAGCAGAGCCCCTCCATCCTCATCTCCATCATGGCACTCCTTCGAAGTCATCGATGGCGTTTATGACAAAGCCATCTTATTCAGACCATCTATTTGATGGGACTATTCTCTGTGATCGGAATCGTCCTCATCTGGTATGGCGTCTACTCAGACCGCGAATACATCCACCCTTTACTTACTCAGTTAATCCCTGCGGGCCACTGTGCGTGTCTGACCTCAACCACTTTTCAATGTGCCAGCTGCTTGAACTGCGCTCCCAAGAAGCCTCTCCCTCCGACTGCACTTCCTGCTGTCTCGGCCTGGAAGTTTGAGGCAGGTCGAGATAGTGGCAATGAAGGATTAAGTCGAGCTCAGTGCATGGCCGCTTTCCCAGGTTTGTTCGAAGATATCTTGCGTGCAGGGACATTCTGGAGAACGCATGGTAGCCTTGACGTCGAGCACTTGGAATACATCCCGTTAAAGCATGGCATGGCGCGAGCGTTCATTCATCGCGGAGAGCTTTATGTGGTGAACGCGCTATCACGAGGTGAAGATCATCGACGAAAGGTTTTAGCTGTCCTGAGTGCGATCCACCGTGCCTTGATAACAAACCCCGAACGAGCCTCCCAGCAAGATCTGGAGTTTGTCTTCTCCGTGGAGGATAAAGTCACGGACGTGACCACTGACGACCAGCCTATCTGGGCATTTGCAAGGTCTGCCGGTGAAGAGGCGGTTTGGCTCATGCCTGACTTTGGCTACTGGGCATGGGAGAATGTACAGAATTCCATTGGGCCATACGACCAAGTAGTCGACCACATCAAGTGCGCAGAAATCCCCTGGTCGCAGAAGAAAAGACAGCTTGTCTGGCGAGGAAAGCCCAGTTTCGCACCTAAGCTGCGGCGCGCGCTGATGGATGCTGCGCGAGGCCAGCCGTGGGGTGATGTCAAACACGTGGATTGGAATCAACGAACGAACGTTATGAGCCTAGAGGACCATTGCCGATACATGTTCATAGCCCACGTTGAAGGTAAGCTTTTGCGTTTGCACGCTGATGGTTGTATCTGGTCTAGCGCAACGCTGAAGATGGATCTTAGGACGATCTTATTCCGCGTCTCTGAAATACCGCCAGGCGTGCAACTCGGTTGTTGTAGCCCACAAGCTGCAGTACATCCAGCATCACCACTACCTGCTCATTTCAGAAGGACCGAGCCAGAATTACATCGAAGTTGACAGGAGTTTCAGTGACTTGGCAGCCAAGTTGGAACCGTTGTTGGACGACCCATCACGGGCAGAACGCATTGCCAGCAATAGTGTACAGACATTCCGCGACCGGTATCTCACCAAGGCAGCGGAAGCGTGCTACTGGCGTATGCTCTTCGAAGGGTACAGTGACGTCTGGAATAGCAGTGTTCCGGGTCAGTCAAGGTATCAAGAACAGCAACGAGGCTTCCGATACGAGTCGTTCATTCTTCTGGATAGTCGCATGATGTTTGAATTTGACGCAACGAGCGCAACGGGCGCGATGGGCTGAGGGAACTGGGAAATTGGAAGCTGGTGGTGACGCAACAACTAACCTACTGACAGGTCACAAACTATGGTCTTGGTATCATGCATGATAAATAGGTAGTTATTGCATCAGTGTTGCGCTAGTCTGTGTTGCGAGTTGGGGCAAACGAAAGAAGGTCTGGTATCCTAGTATCACATACGTCAGGGTAGAAAGTTTCATGGTGTAAGTTGAGTTGGTGGTGACTTGCAAAATCAATTCAATGAAAGTTTCAACTCATGAGAAGAGGCCAGTCATGTGAGGGGAAAGGCGGATTCCGATCGATCTTCAGCTCTCCACTCACTCACTCGATTCAACTCCAAGTCTTAGGTACAACCTCTCGATTCCAGTTTTGACCACTTACTTTTACGCTTGGCTTCAGTTTCAAGAAGTGGTCGGTCGGCCAGTAAGAGTTCGACTATAACCAGAGAGGGCCTGTGCTACTTTAGTACTTACTCAACTTTAGTCTGCAGATTCTGGTATCAACCTAAAAGGACTTGCGATCGACCATGATTTGGGCAGGATAGCGAACCTCTCCGGTCAGACGACTTGTCTCACCTCAAGCCCTCTCCTTTCTCTCGGTTGTGCAGAGGTGAGATTGCAGTGCGTGGGAAATGCCATTGGGCCCTGTTTATCCACTACGGCACGTCCAAAGTGGAGATACGATGGACCTTCTTGGCGCTGCAGCTGCGGAGTGCGCTTCCTTCAACCAAACAAACCAACAATATCCCTTCAGTTGATAAATTCTTTCTTTCATCATGATTGTCGGTGATCGACTTCGACCTTCAAGGGCAGGGCAGTGACAGTGCAATCACTCATGCAACCAGTATGTACACTGTACAGAGACCATGCACTGAGTCTGCTCTTGTTGACAGGGCGCTGGACCACATTACGAGCATTCCTCCCCTTCGCTGACAACCGGTCGATTCTGAGTGGCATACCCTCCCGTGGCGTCAAGCAAGGTAGCTCCCACCCTCCAGATGAACCATGATCTGTGCGGAGATCGGCTCTGGCGCTCGACCACTGGGGTGACGCCAGTGGGGCCTCGTCAAGGGCGCGAACAACCGACTATCGAAGGGATCGTCGCGCGAATCGGCGAGATTTCAGCTCAGCTGAGATCTGCAGCCACAGCACTCTTTCAGAACCATTCACAACTCGTACCGTCTCTATGGAGGTCGCACGGGGGAGCCGACACGCCGCCTACACACCGAAAGTGTGGAGGCTGGCTGACTGGCTTATAACACAGGCTTGCGTCCTCTGATTGATTTGAAATTATTGCTTTCTGCTCTGTTTGTCCCTCGAACATCACATCATGCCGTCAGCAATTCCCAAGCCCCCGGGGGTCTTCCTCCTCGGCAACCTCTTCGACGTGAACTCTGGCAACCCCTGGATGTCATTCAACAAACTTTCGACTAAGTATCGTAAGCCTTCACCTGTTCCAGGCTTGATGCATTCTCTCGGTTCTAATGTTTGTTTTGCTTTGCAGGTCCCATTTGTAAAGTCACCATTCTCGGCCATGACATTGTTCTGGTCACCGGCGCCGCCCTCCTGGAAGAAATCTGCGACGAGAAGCGCTTCCGAAAATGTGTCAACGGGCCCATCGTCGAGATTCGACAGGCGGTTCACTCGAGTCTATTCACAGCCTTCCATAGTGAAATGGATTCTTGGGGCGTCGCCCATCGCATCATGGCGCCCCTTGTCACCCCGGAAGCCGTCGCGCAGGTCTTCACGGACATGCGCGAGGTATCGAGCGATCTGATCAGGAAGTGGACCGCTGGACCGCGCCAGCGCGTCAATGTCACCGACGACTTAGATCGTCTTAACCATGCCGCGAACATGCTGTGTTTCTTCGACCAGCGACTGCACTGCCTAGAAGGTCCAGAGCCGACGCTCATCAAGGCCATGGAGGGTGCTACCACCGAAGCTGTCCGACGCCCTAGCCGCCCGAAGTTACTCAACTGGCTCCTCTATCAGCGCAAGTTCGACAACTTCAACAAGGCTTTGCGCGATTATTCAGCTGACTGCATCGCACATCGGCGCGCCAACCCGTCCGCCAAGAAAGATATGCTACACGCGATCATCGAGGGCACAGATCCAGAAACAGGAAAGGGACTGGACGACGTCCAACAGATTGACGAAATCATCAACGTCTTTATCGGCAGCGCAACAGCACCGAACCTTGTTGCCTTCGCCCTTTACTATCTGATGAAGAACCCCAAGGAGATTGCGCGCGCCCGGGAAGAACTGGATGCTGTCGTTGGAGGACCCGGTGCCCAGATCGAACACGAGCATCTGGCAAACCTCCCCTACTGCACCGCCATTCTCCGCGAAGCCATGCGTCTCGCCCCTCCGGCCCCTGGCTTCAACATTGAAGCCATCCCATCCGACGAAGGCCCAGTCTACCTCGCTGGAGGCGAGTACGAAGTTCCGCGTGATCAACCCCTCATTGCCATCCTGTATGGTGTGAATCGCGACCCGGCCATCTTCGAGGATCCCGATGCATTCAAGCCCGAGCGTATGGTCGGCGAGAAGTACGACCGGTTGCCCTCGAGTGTCAAGAAAGGATTCGGAAACGGCAAGCGTCACTGTATTGGGAAGCAGTACGCGTGGGAATGGTCGTTCTTCACGCTGGTCAGCATCCTCAAAGACGTGGAGTTTGAATTGGCCGACAAGAACTACGTGACCAACCCGGCGACCGAAAACTATAATGGCGCGTTCACCGTGAAGCCGCTGGGACTTTTCGCTGTCACAGGGCCCCGACCCCGAGCAGGCTAGACCTTTTGGTGGTCTTTGAAGTTTCCCATTCTGTGTCTTATCCTCATGATATCCAAATTGCGGTTGTAATATATGCTACATGTTGCATGTTCCGTGGTACTACTTCGGGTCATTCGACCTTTTTTGATTCGCTATGATCTAATGCTATGTGGATTCTTTCCTTGATGCCTGTATTGCCCAGCTCCGTCTACTTCGACTTCGACTTGTAGTATTCATCTGACTTTCCCAGGTGAGAACGTAGCCTGCCGACTGCCTCTGAGAGTATGCGCGTTCGACTCGTGTCGGGCTCACGGTACCAACCTCGCATCTTTCAGCTCCTGCTTAATCGTAGTCACTGAGCTTGGATTTGCCACAGCCATGGGATTGTTGTGGGGCCTAGACCTTTCATCCCGTGATGGGATCTATCGATCCATGGAATAGACGGTACGGCCCGCGTCTTAGTAGGCAGGATTATACATGGCCGAGACTTGCAAGTTAGCGGTGGACTACATGATCCGGGAAAGACTGGAATTAAAGGCAATGCCATTGAGGTACAGACAATGTTGACTGTCAATACCATATGTGGGAAGTTTTAAGCGGATGTCAGATCTGCCGGCCATTATATTTTTTGGGTAGTGCCGTCGCCACTGCAGCCGTCTCGCTGATCTCCGTGGGAGTAAACCAGATGAATTTCAGAAAGGGCATCGTCTGATGACCTAAGACTGGAGGAGGACCCAACATGGAGGTATATCTTTCTTAATTTCAAGTGACTTTGGCCTGTTACGAAGTATGTAACTGATCCTGTTTCTTTGAACTCATCAAATATTCTCCCTTTGCCACTAGAAATAATTATGTTGATGTATGGTAAAATTATAAAGATAAAAGGTGGATCTTTACATACGTCAATATAAGTCAGCGAAGGAGGAATGAGTATATCGAAGGATATTGTGACGTTAAAGAACCATGTCTTGAGACTCTGTAGATTGATTGTGAAGAAAGTGGCCTTGGGAGCTCATCTCCTGTATATGATCTGCTGAGAGCTTCATATCCTGCCTCAGAAGCGGCATAAGCATGATGATTGATTTCACACTGTTGAGTAGTACTTGCCTCGCACCAACGCCACCAACGCATCCGATCCATGAGCATCTGTTTCTATGTAAGAGCCTAGAGGGCCTGGAACCTATCGGTGGTAGACCAGAGGCAGCTGCTGTGGTGAAGGTTGCCGTCCCGAGAGTCACCCAAGGGTTGTATGAGTTGCGTGTCATGCTTGAACTATATCCTTTTGTCCACCAGAAAATGCATGAAGGTCCCCATAATTGACTACACACTCAAGCTACGGAAGCGGAGTTATCGCCGAAGAGAGTGAAGTGAGCCTCATTCCTTGCTGGCCATCTACGATTCTCACTCCAGAGCTGGCGAGGGGCGATTTTGACCGGATCCCAAGCTTATGGGTATAGTACCCTGCTACCGCACGCGACCTGCTCCTACCGAGGCATTATAGCCTAAACAACAATCAGCAGAGTTCAAGCCACTTCGCAGTGCAACCGATGATTGCAGACAGCCATCCTCCCACGGTGGTCGAACAGACCGTCTGAATGAAAATCCAATTCGCCTTTCTGTGCCATTCCTGGGGTCATACAACTGGGGATCCATTCAATTCGCTCGGATGCCCTTGTACAACAGGCGAACGTCGATGGACAAAAGCACGCTCCTCCCGGCCCCTCCCTCCCCATGACATGTGATCAAATGCAATGCGTCGACGTCTGTTCTTGTAGGGCCCTCCGAGAAAAAGTCACCTCGGCCCTGATTGCAACACCTTTCGCAAGCGCCGTTGCCGTGATGTGGGGCTGGATCCCCAAATTCCATGATCTGATTTCTTGATTGTGATGTGGGGGTTAGCGTGAGTGCTAACTTCGTTCTTGACTTGGTCCGTTGTTTCCGATTCATGTAGGCCTCTTGAATTTTTGAATTTAGCATGTTACGGTACTGAGAGAGTGCATCAGTGCAGTCTTCCTCGGGCGACTCAGCATCCTTGCGGTCCCGTTAGCCATGGTGATGGGCTTGGAGGAAATCATGCCCAAAGCTCTCTCTGGAACATGAGGGAGTTGGGAAAGAAGCAGATGGAAACAGAGTAACGGGGGTACCTGGTCAAGAATGACAACTGACGTCTAGACTCGCTCAAGCAATGCCATGGGGGAGGTTCAGAGCCAGCGTGCAGCTCTCGGACCATGCCCAGATTCATGATCGGTTGAAGCCGACACCGGTCACTGGAAAGTAACGGGTTTCCCCTTCCATATCCTGGAGCTGGGTGTCAATTGGAGAAGGGCCGCAGTGGGAGAGATGATCGACTGCAATGGAAATGTGTCACAGCAGGGAATAATGAGGGTTTTAAACCATTCCATGCTTGCTTTTGAGGATGTCTGTCTGCTATCAATCTTTGAACCGATACATGTCTGCAATCTGATGCAACTAGAATTGGCTGTTGATCAGACTTACCGAACGAGAGAGAGTGACAGAAAGGGTGAAGCAAAAGAGCAAGAGAGATAGAGAGGGTGTGTAAGTGCAAGTGCAAGTGTGTGTGTGTGTGTTTCAGACAGGGAAGGGACTCAGTCACGGGACGAGTGCCATTGCCTTACCTTAGTCTATCCATCCATCCAAAGTGAATTCCACCTCAGCTTCAGCTTCTACTTCCCTCTTCCCTCTTCGTTCTTCCCTCTTGCTTTCCCCCACCCCACTAACCCACTCATTCAGTCATTCGTTCCATCAATGGATCAGTCAACAAACACTTCCCAATTACCCGAGATCGGTGCTACCACACAATCACGGTTCCCTTCCAAGGACGGCTCAAAGTTGCTCCAGATTCATCGGGGTAACACAGAAGCTGGATCATTTGCCAGTGACCGTCTGGCCAATTCACATCCAAAACACGCCAGTCCGGATACGAATACCCTGGTCTGCCTTTCCATTGACTCGGAGCTGGGATCTATTGCCCTTGATGATCGGACACGCTGTCTCATCTGCCTGTCGGCTTCAGTCTCTCCAACCTCGCTTGCCAGGAAATCGATTGATTGGTCTTCGGGGCAACCCACGTCAGGGCTCGATGCTGACGACAGATCAGCCGTGAAGCTGAGCTCAGGCATCCTAAGCGACCAATTCTACACTGCCACTCAATACTCCTCCCTCGAACCACCACCAATCGTCATTCTCGGATCCGCCCATAGTAGGAGAGCCTTGTTTCTCCGAGTGATGATGGACACTAAGCCTGCAAAGAATTTTCATCCTGACTGGTATTCAGTAGTTCCACACTTTCAATTCGCATTTGACCTACATGCAACCCAATCGAGCCATGGTCGAGTATTACCGGTCATGCAACTGGTTCACTATCCCAATCGCTACCGTGACGGTACGCCAGCCATACCATTTCGAGGCTAGGATGCTGAGCTAATTTTAATCTCACTCTCATCATGTTCAGCCCAAGAAATGTATCATCTGCATTGCTGTTGGCCTGTATTGTTTAGACTAGCTTGGGTAAGCTCGTCATTAGCTACGCCAAGAGAGTCGTTTAGCCCTAACTGGTGCACCGTGATCGAGGATTCGCACTGACGGGTACCGTACACATGGTCATACTACACGGAGCTCCCGGGTACATGCAAAAAAGGAGTGGTCGTGTATACCGAAGCACTGGAACGACTTGCTTGTGCCCTTCCCCAGGGCCCCAGGGCCCCAGGCCTGCCTGCTCTCATCCGTTCCCGGCTGCCGCATAGCTCGGTTAGTTCATTATAATTATTGCTCTGGATCCGTGCGCATGTCTTGCCAGACTAGTATACTCGATGAGAAAAATAACTCTAGGTCCGGACAGCTGGATGCATGATATCAGCTGAGACTCATTTGGCGGGCAGATCTGGCTCGACCTTTGTGGCCTAGCCCTCTCGATATTCATGCAAAGCCTGTTCGCTGATCATGGTTGGACACACTCTTCAATGATCAGCAGCGCCAAGTGAAGCCTTGCCCGCGCCTCAGAGCTATGATCGTTATTGTCTGGGCACCTTTACAGCCAAGGCCCGGCGTATGACATGGACCGGGGTTGCAGCGCGGACTGGAAACAGGACGTCCAGCGCGTGGCTTGAGAAGTCACGAGTCAAGTACCGGTGCAGTGGAAAAGCAAGGAGCCATGGCTGACTGGCTGGCTGGAGGGCCTGAGAGAAGACATATAGAATGGTTCGAGTAACCACGCACGGTGGATATTCAAATACTGCTTTGCGAGCACGAGCCACGACCTTTCCTTGGTTATACGCCCGACCTCATGTTGCACCCATTGCGCAACCTCGTAATATTTTCTATTCGAGCCAATCACATCAAGCAGAAGGTCCCTGGAATATCCGGGATTTGGCTCCCTTGAGTTCTCGGATACGGTGAGCTGAGTGCATATTATCCTTATAAGGAAGGAAGGTTAGATTGCAGCAAGATCGGCCTACTGACGGTTTGACAGCGAAACACGCAGCAGCAGGTGGAGGCTCTGTCACTCCCAACACGCATTGCTACCCCGCAAGACGCCAAATATATGAATCCAGCCTCCAGCCTCGCACCCGGCTATCTTTAATGCTACTTGCGTATGGTGTTCGCCGTTACGGAAGATTTTTGTTCACGCCGACAGCAGTACTTAACACCCGCGTTGCTCCCATTCCTTTGATGTCTATGAAGATGCGGACACAGCCTACTAAGGAAGACAGATGCTCTAGCGATAGCTCTGGACAGAAGCAGGATCCGATTGAGCGGAGGAGATTGCAGAATCGTTTGTCACAGAGAAATCATCGTGAGTGGGATCAATACTTGATAGCAGTCAACCCCATAACTCACAAGCAACATAGGTCGAAAGATCCGGGACCGCATCGCAAAGCTTCAGGAGCGTGTCATCGCCAGTGAACTACGAGCAGCTGCAAGCCTCAATGGTTGGGACCACCCCAGCTCAATCAACGGGCCGCCAACGATGGATCGAATTTCGCCTGTCTTTGACCCCAGCGGCACCTCCGCTTCGTCGATGACCGACGGGTCCTCCGGCTTTGCATCAGCGTATATGTCCCAGTCAAGATATTTCTGCTCATCATGCAATTCTGCGTTGGCGCCATTGCCGTTGTACTCGACGCAAATGACAATCACATCGCCTCTGTACGACATCACCGAGATAGATGCCTCGAACGTGTCCCCGTCGGCCCTCCGAAACCACCCCTATTTCCCGCGGTCTAGCTCTAATGCTTCTGAAATCCTGCAAGGAATGACAGGTGGATACGCATCAGCTGATGCAAATGCACCACCTCTTTGCGAGCCATGGAATGGCCAAACTCAGTACTCGGGATCGTCGCTATACTACATCACAACAGGTAAGACGCATTTGGGGTTGCAGACTCATAAAGCTGACCGTCTTGCCACAGAGGCAGCGTTGCCACAGATCATGCAAGCCTTGAGCACAGGACCAGCGCGACCAAAGGCAATTATCGTGCTCTCGCAGAATACGCAGCATGGTTCAGCGCCGACCAGCCTTCCAACGGCGCAATCACCACCAACTGCAAGCAGCACCGTCGAACTCTCAGGATCGTCGAGTCCTGTTGAGTTGCATGAAACCTTGTGCCAGTGCCAGAACCAGGGGTCGATAGCTGGATCCCCTGGCATGATGGCAGCTAATGACTGGGTTAATGCAGGTACTTCAACGTCTGTTTGCCCGCTACATTCACTACCGGCCAATGAAAGCATGCAGCTGATGATGATGTGAATGGACTTCATTTTTATATATATACCAATATTGAGCTTTTTGGGAGGGGATTGTGGTACATAGACTGCGAAATCAGATCCAGTGATTTTCATCAGATCTTTGTCTGCGATAGGATAGATTTCAAGATATGACAACGGTGAATTGAAGTTTGGAGAGTACCTCGTAGCTTCTGGACATGATGAAGCGGTGAGCCACGGAAGACAGTTGCTGTGGCAAGAAGCAAACATGGCGGCTGCTAAGTGTAAAGTCCGACCACACCACTCATACGGAGTACTCTGCCAGCCAGTATTCGTTGATCACTGTTTGTCGTCCTCGATTTCTCCCTCCCTGGTTCCGCATGCAGTAGTTTGCAGCACGAGCTTTGCGCGTCTCAGAAGGAACGCCGAAGTGCACCCACTGCAGTTATGGACTTAGAAGGAGTTAAGACGCACCAATCTGAGCGGAACAGCACTGAATGTCTTAGAAGAAGTAGACCAGGATCCCCATCCTTGGGGCACGATAGATGTATGCATCATAGCACACACCAGACGATAAACAAAACAAAATGCAGCAGTCGCTGTTTCGACTACAGTTCATCGGATGTCCAAGACCGGACAGCAAGACGTCGGATTCTACCGACCCCCGTGATTCTTGCCCCCTTTCCTGTACGTATCCTTGCCATGCTGATTGCACTCGAAAAAGAAGAATCAGTAGCTCTTCTATATACAATGTACGGAGTCGGTAGTACCTCTAAAGTATCGCCACCGCGTGGGAAATTCACTGCCGTGTACCTTTTATTATTCCATCTCGCGTGTTTTTAGGGATGGGGTGGTACATTGTATGGTCTATGTATGTACCCGTGAGGAACCACAATCGTCACCACCAGTGGAATAATCATTGAAAGCCGGCTCAGCTTGCTGCGGAGGAATACACGCCAGCGAAGTGGTGGTAGACAGTATGTACATACATACATACATACATCCATACATACACCTGGGGGTACAGGAATTTCGAATCCAGTGACCGTGCCAGACGAGACAAGTGACAATCGGGCCGTGGTGCATGGCATACGATGGAAGGAGGTGGAGGGGGAGGGAGGGAGGATGTTTGCTTTTTTTTTTTTTTTCTTGCATTTTGCTTTTGTTTGGTTTGGGGAGGAACTGGGGGTTCTCGTGGGAAAAAGGGGGAAAGGGGGAGGGCTAGTTTAGAGAGAGGGCACGGATTTGTGGGATCTGTTCGCAGGAGGGATTGTATTCCGTAACTGGGTTTCTTGGGATTGAGACTGATTTGGTTGCTCGGTGCTGTCTTGTCTGGTTGCTGGTGATGGTTTTTGTTTGTTCGGATGGATGGATGAATGGATAGGTGGATGGATGGGATTGGTAACATTCTCCGAGGGAGGGTCGGGGTTGAGCTGAGGATCCTTGTCTACGGCCTTTGCTTTAGGCAGCAGGAGATCCAGTTTGACCAAAGCCAGAAGGTTTCGTTTGGATTCTACACTTATACTCATTTCCTCTCTCCGTTACAGAGCAGAAGAGCAACCAACCTACCACGCACACTCCCCGCCATCATACCGATTCCACCCCGAATTCCAGCCCGGAATGTGGATGTTGAAAAACCGCCCGTTCCCCTCCTTCCCCTTGTTGAGGATGATCTCCAGCGTTGCGCGCACGCCGTCTGCCACCGGGAGATCCGCCCGCGGACCGCCCATCTCGGTTTGGAGCCACTGCGGTTGAATTAGCATTGGGCTTACGTGGATTCTCTTCTCTGGCCTTGATGACCATTCTGACCATTCTGACCAGTCTGACCAGATCCCAATGGTTGAAGAAAGGAAGAACAGAAGGAAGGGACGAACGCACCCCCGGACTAACGCAAAACACCGCGAACCCCTCCTGCTCGAGTTCCTGCGCGTACAGCACGGTAAGCATGTTCAGCGCCGCCTTGGTGATCTTGTACGACTGGCTCATGGCCTCCCGGTAGACGGACTGCATCGCGAAGGAGCCGACGGTTGTGGAGCTGTTTTCGTCAGTTTCTCCCAGAAGATGGGGTTGGAAGGGGGATGGGGGACGAACATATTCACAATCTTCTTCGTGGCGCCCCTCCGTAACAGCGGGAGGAACTCGCGCGTGACGAGATGCGGGCCGTTGACGTTGACGTCGAAGGAGGAGGTGAGGTCGTTCCTGCATTCCCCATTCCATGTTAATCATAAGGTACCGTCTACTGACACCCCTACCGAGAAGATAGGCAAAGTAAGGGAAAAGGAGAGGAAGTACATCTCCATCAACGACCCCCGCCCCATCACCCCCGCATTGTTGATCAGTACATCCAACCCCCGGCCCTCCAGCGCCTGCTCGACCAACTGCGCGGCTCGTCGCACGCCGGCTTCGTCGGTGATGTCGAGGGGGACGGGCGTGATGCGCGAGGGATGCTCTTTCACGAGGGCATGGAAGTCGGATGGCGTTTGGCTGGTTGTTGTCGATGATAGTGACGGTGATGATAATGATCGCGCGGCGGCGAAAATCTGCCGAACTTCACTGGCGGGCTTGGCGGCCAGTTGGCGCGTGAGTTCGAGGCCGATGCCCCGGGTTGCGCCGGTTATCAGGTAGGTAGTCATTGTTCTTGGGGGTGTTGGGGTCGGTGGATTGTTGGAAGCACTTTGAGATCGGGGGTGTGAATAGTTCGAACTGCGTGAACCGTGGATTGTAGACTGTAGACTGTAGACTGTGGACCGTGGACCGTGGACCGTGGAATGTGATACTATAGCTCTGTGATTGAGGTGGATTGGTTGATATACTGTTGCTGGTCAAGAGTGTATTGCGGAGTTAAGTGCTCGGGTTCCGGTTTACTTGAGCGAGAGGTGGCCCAGCATCCCTCAGTGCGTAGGCTTTGTAATTCTAGATGTTAGAAATCGAGGACGAGATTTTCTGTTCCGAGTCCGTCCTTCGATAACGGAGGTAAGTGGAGTGTCAGCAAGTTGCTTAGTAGAATGTCCCAGTAGGCATCTGCGTCCACTGCGGACGCTATGGAAACAGGTTGGCGATGAGGTCATTGATCCGGCGATAACGGAGATTGAGCCCCAGTATTACTCGGTACAAACTTAATGGAAAGAAACAAACAAACCACAGCGGAAATACGAGCGTGTTCCATCCCTTGAGTACACTACACATAGATAAATTAAAATGAAGAGGGAGTATCTAATGACAATAATGTGAACCCATTTTCGAACTCCACATAACATGCGCCGGCTGTGATCATAATCGCCTAGTCCCAGCTAACCCCACCATCTCAGTAAATGCTAAAGAGCCACACAAACGCCAGTATGATGTTCATTACCTTTCTCCTACTATCGCGCTCAGCTCCACAAGGGTGGATGAATGTACTCGGCCGCACGATCGAGGATATTAGGGATGGACCACTCGCCGCTGGTCGAACTCTCCGGAGTCGGAGGCGGGAGAGATCCGAGGCTCGGTGTCATACTAGCTGCTATACCGGCAACTCCCATGCTGGACCCTGCATGCGGGTTAAGGTACGCTGGGGACCCGGCCTGACCGGCGGCTCGAGCGGCCTGGGTGGTGAATGCTGCTTCGAGTTTCTCCAGTGCGCGGAGGGTTTTGGTCAACGGCTTGGCCCACTGCGTCTGCGTATCAACACCGACACCAACGGATCCGGGTGATGCAGAGTTCAAGCCTGCTGGACTCGGGGCGGCAGTGCTAGGTGCTCGAGGAATGGTGCTAAGTGTAGGGGGAGCGGCCCCATCCGTCGGAGGAGCAGCGGCATCAGCTGAGTTGAAGTCAAGCTCGGCGTTCGCTCGCTCAGAGATAATGACCTTGAGCTGCTGCAACAAGCTCCAGAAACGGGGGATGGTTTTGGATTCTTCGGTAACTGCCAAGAGGAAAATCGAGCTGATGGCTCGCTGTAAAGCAATCCACGATCGAGACGCATGTGAACTGACAGTATGCATTTCGATGTACGCCTCCACCGTCGTCATCAGATTGTTGACACAGTCGGCACGCATACTGGCTGCGGCTGGGTCAGCCGTTTCTCCCGCCAGCTTCAACGCTGGCCGATAAAGCTCGGAGGAGAAGTATGACGTGTGTAATTTGAGAACGACTCGCTCAAGGTGCTCCGTTGCAGAGAGACAGTATTTACGATCCCGGAGGTGAGGCTTGGCTTCTATCATGATCTGCTGGATGCGTTCCTTGTAGCCCTGGATAGTCTTGTAGCTCAATTGCGAGTGCGGACTCAGCATGCGACTGCGGACAACTTCCAATGCAAGACCAATGACTCGACACAGCGTCTCAAAGTACGAGATTTCGCCAGGCTTTGGATCGTCACGATACGCAATTTCGGGCTGGCACACAGCGGTCGTAGAGGGCCTGTCATAGGAAAGTGAGAAATGGCTGTCTTGCCATGCCATCGACCACCTGTCTATAGTTAGAATCATACTTCCTTGCACGTCATTTCGTGTTGGGGCTAAATGCAACATACCAAACGTGGCGGCGGCGATAACGCTCTGCAGCTGAGAAGCGACTGGACTCGACATGTAGACCGAGGGCTAAGCCCATCCGAAGCGTCATACCAAGAAGCACGTAGGAGATTCCGGGGTTCATATTGTACGACAAGACGTTGCCAATGACGAGTAGTGTTTGCATGGCATCTATCGTCGGCTGCGAGAGGAAGTTGGTCATACGAAGACACTGGTATGAGCAGCACACTACTATAGTCAGTAAGTGTCGACGAAATGAGGGTAGAAAAAGACGAACCATAGACTTGGGATGTCAACTCTCGCTCTTTGCCCGGGAGATCCGACGATTGACAGCCAGAGGCGAGCACGGCGAACAACAATCCCATGTAGGCAATAGTCACACCAAAGGGTTTCTGAGATTGGTCTGCATCGGCGCGATATACACCACCCATCGATGCTCGGTTACTTAGCAGAAGGTGAAGATTCATCTCAAATTGTGGAACATCCTCGAGAACAGGGTAAATGGCGCCTGCGATGTCTCGGTAATAGTAGAAGAAGCTGCAGGCAGAAGTGGTTAGCATTAATTCCTCACGTACAGGTAGATGCAAACTGACTCTTTGCACTGCTGGTCGGTAGGAAGGGCACTGCAGACGGCGCTGATGTCGAAAGTTGACATGTCAGAAGACCAGAGGTCAACAAACGGATACGTTGCCGATTCGTTGTCCAGGCCCAGCTTCGGCAAGATCCCACCTTCCAGCAAGGCCTGAAGCTGATCGGATCCAGACTTGTTGTTGAGGATGTACGCCAACACCGACCGGGACCCCAGGTGCACCGTGCCTTCACCAAAAGTGTTGGGCGCATGGATGCCCTCCCGTTCCGGGGAAGCAGCCTTCGACCGACTACTGGCATCACCACTCTGTATGCTCCCGGTCTCCAGCGAAGAACCGTGTCCATCTTCGGCTCTCTCGAGCCCAACCCGCAGATTGCTGATCGTTTGCTCCATCTCCCGCAACCGAGTGCGAACATTGTCCCATTCCTCGCGCGCGATCGATACTCGTCCGGGCCCTACCTGGCCCACCAAGCTTGGTCGATTAACTGGCGCCTCTGGTTTCGGGCGTGCTGGAGGCTCGGGTGGAATTATGATGGTCTCCCCAGGGACGGTTGGACTAAATGATTGCGGAAGCGAGCCCGTCATGATGCGCTTCTTGGAGGGGCGTTCGTAGGAGCAGAGATCGGCATGGTCGCGCTTGACACAGCCATCGCAGGGAAGATTACGGTCACATTTCACTTTCCGAGCGTGACAGGGGTAGCAGGCCTTGGGTTCGCGCGCCTTCCGTTTTGTGCGGATAATCGCGTCGACTTGGGATTGAGGCAGGTCGGCGATGGCCCGGGACGTGCCCGCCATGTCGGGACCAGCGACGGACGGCGAGTACGAGATAGATGACTGATAAGGAGAAGTCATTGTGGTTGGTGAAGTGAGCGAAGAGACGAGAGGTGGGTTTCGAGGAGCTTCTGCTCGAGAAGTGAAGGATCGTCGGTGTAAGGATGTGGATTGCTATCTCGAAGCTAGAACATGCGAACACAACAGCGGAGATGACGGAATTAGGCGGGATAACGAATGGGCGCGGGCACTGAGCAGGATATTCGCGGTGTTCACATTGAATATGTTTGATAAGACGAGAAGAAGATCAGTCCATGAATGATTGTGCAAGGTGTAGCGTGGATGTTGAGGGGCCCAACATGGCTTGGTTGACGAGAATGTGCTCCCGAGGTAGCAGGGCGCAAGATTGGAACTGGAAACCGCCGCCAAGTTCCAGTTTGACTGGAAAACATCCCCTTGCGGAGGCCCACCTGACTCAGCAATAGAAATCGACGGCACTTGCTCACGTGATGTGAGGGGAGTCGATCATGGGCTCGCCCAGCCCTAAGCCCTACCAGTAATGAATGAAATGACGTAGCTGATGCCAGAAATCAATGCTTGCTGCCTTACTGCCTTGCGTACTACTCTTCGATCGATCTATTAACTATATAGTGATTAGTTCGTCGCTATACTTGAAGTGATACAGAGGAGCACTAAGCCTACTCAAGAAATATTATCCTTGAATATGAAGACTCCCGTAACTCTGAAGGGACTTCTACTAGGCTTCTTTGTCATTGAGGAAAACTTTCCATTCTTTGCGTTCGACTCCTCTGGCTTAAGATTGACTTGACTCAAGATAGCTAACACAATACAGAACAAGGAGTTTGGTGTAAGATTTCAAGAAAGACATACAAAATCGGGTCTATAATTATCTCCCGCTGCCCACCTTACCCATAGCAGTTTAATGCAAATGGTATGGACAAATAGTGATTGGGTTGGCGACGGCCATCTGCAATACTGCTCGATGCATCACAAATGGAGAATCACACAATCAACATCCAGTGTCATGAGCATACCACCTCAATCGCAATGAGTGCCTCTTGTCTCGGTCGGATGACGCTGTTCCAATCTAGTAAGGCAGTGGTGTCGACGGATATTTTAGAGCAATACGCAGGGCCACTCCGTCTCTTGTTCGAGAGTAGGACTGCAATTGATGGATGTTCTGAATCGTTTTCTTGTGATGGCGATCAGCATTGTCGTACCCCTGCTGTTCAGCCGCACCAACGCATCAGTGAGGGGGGCGGGGTCCGGTGGTGACAAGCAAACATATAAGCGAACTAGCACCCAGCTTCCAATGATTTACTGCCGCTCTAAAAGTACCGGTGACAATCCTCCTGAAATTCAACATTAAGGCTCTCATCATCTCCAACCGCAAGATTCAACGAGAGTCACTACCATGCCTGATCTCCGCTCTATGGCTAAGCGGTTTTTCAAGAAACCACGGCGACAGAAAGAGAAAACACCGTCTGAAAACAAAACCAGACCGAAAAAGGAGGATACAACCTCGCCAGAGGAGTCGGAATGCAAGCCAGAAAAGCACCCCCGGTCAACCTCTCCACCCAGCGATCTCTGGATCTTAGCCGAGCAAAAGATGAAACAGAACCCTGATTTGGCCGAAGTCCTATCGGAATCGATGGATATACTGGAATCTCAATATCGTCTTGATCTGGAACACGGTGATCCAAGTTACCACGAACAACTCTGCAAACTCCTTAATGCCAAAACAGCTGAAGCCGAGACAAAGAAATGGGAAGTTCACCCGGGAGACTATAGTGTCCCTGTGCGAGACCAGCTCAACAAAGTGTTCAAAAACATCCTCGCCTTTAAGGAGGTTGTCAGTACGGCTGCAAGTGCAAGCCCGCCCGCCTCGATTGCCTGCGCTGGTGTGATGGTGTGCTTTACGGTAAGCCCTGACTTGATGCTCTCGCCGACGCGCTCTGTTGTTCGCAGACTACTAACTTCATTGAGATGATTATTCAAGCAGTAGAACAGCACGCCGTCCTTCTTCGAGGATTAGACCTGATTTCCGAGTCCATGATTCGACTTCGCGCGAGGGAAGATCTGTACCTGACTTCTCAG